TAATCATTGCGCTGCCAATTGGTTGCAATGACATTGCAAGCAATGGCAGCCGCCTCACCCCCGACTGTTTTGCAACCACTCTGCCTTGAACCAGACTTTCACTTCCTGGCAGCGTGGGTTGCATGCACCAGCGTCCCAGGGGGGTTTGGAGCAGGGCGATTGGGTTTGTAGAGGGCGTATTCCCTTGCCTGTCTGATCATCTTTGCCAGTGACGCCATCGGCCGCCGTCGCCTGCTTGGCCGGTCAGCTACATTATCGCATGCAGCGGCCTCGTCATTACAGAAGGGCACCTTTGCGCATGACACATTTGGAAAAAGTTCCTTCGTTCCCCGACCCGTCTTGAAAACTGGGTTTCCACTACGCGGACACGCGCGCACTTCTGGTGCCGGCAGACGCTGCCAAACACGACGGACAATGAGTCTGTAATCACCGGCAGCCGAGTGGACTGCCGCACACGGCCCCTGGGGTGTCATCACGCGCCGCTGCGAGTGGCTGGGTGTCAGCAAGTGGGACCGTGGCGCCGAAGTCCCCAAATGTTGCAGGATCCAAGCCACCCGCTGATGAAAGACTTGACGATAATCTTGCTTGTCATCATGCTTTGAAGGCCTGTGCGTCCTAATGATATTGCCTCCCCGCCGCCCTTGATGACAGGATCAAAAGCAGTCACCATCAAATTTACCGTAGTCATAGCGGTGGTGGCCACGGATCACACATCAGAACCCCCGCGCCAATAAGATCATATGACCCTGTCGATTCATCCAGCCCTTGGGTGCACGTCCCCAAGGCGTTTGAGCTGGGTGGCGCACACACTGACTAACCTGCTGTGACCCTTGACACCCTGCTTGACGCACAATCTCTGCCAAAGCTGCACATCATGTTCCCGTTCTGCAATTTCATGCCGCCTGTTGAGGCTTTCTACCGAAGTCGCAGCTCAACAACGGCGTCGAACGCACGCAGAAGGTCGCTCGCCAGGCCCGGCATGCTGCGGTGTAGCTCGTTTGTAGTTTTGGCGGTGGGATTGCTGCTGGTCAACATCCTGGGCGGAAGGGTGTGCGCTAGGTGCGCAGGCTGACACGGTGGCGAAAGGGATTCGGCGGACTCCCTCTGCCCGCTGCCCAACCTGTGCTAGGCGATAAATGGCACCTGATAAGCAGCAATAAAGGAGGTTCCACGCCTCTGACTATGGAAAGGTGGCCTGCGTCAACCTGAAAATTGCTGACACTCCCATGGCCTGCTGTCTGTCCAGCTGTGTGTACACGTGCCTGGCCAACCTGCATGCCTCCACTGATTCATAGCCGCTGATATGTATGTGTGTGCGGCTAGCGAGGGACAACTTTGAAAACCCATTCCCACCTGCGCGTGCGGCTCGCTCTGTGCACTAGCTGTTTTCCTCCGCGCGTGCTGACTTCCACCTGCGGACTTCCCGCTGCTCAAACTCTCGCGGCGCTGTCTCCACGCAGTGCTCAGGCAACCCCCGCGAAGCAGAAGCTGGCGGTGGTGAGTGCTGCCTGAGGGCCTTGCAATGCCTTTGGTGTGCTCTCGCAAAAGCACGCGCGCTCATATTGCACCAGTTGGCACGATTAAGCATGGCCACAGCTTGTAGGCGTGCAAACCCAACAGGTATGACTGTCCGCCTGGGCGCGTGTGCACCCCGGTATGTTTCGCCTGAGCAAAGCCAAGAGAGCATGCACCAACAATACGTCATCCTCGCACAACCTCACGCAGTGCGCGCCCCTCAAAACCGTGACAAGGTCGTCATGCTCCTCCAAGGCCACCAAAGCCGTGATGGACGAGCTGTGCAGCGAGCTGCTGGCCCCCGCCAACGTGACTACTGACAGTAAGGTGGGTACACGCACAGGTGCACGCGTTTGGATACGCTTGCACTGCAGCTCTTCCAGTGCTCCCTTCTCTCTTTATTTCCATCAACACCCTTGCCTCCGTGCCGTGCACTTCCCCACTGATCTTCCAGGACCCCACCAAGATCCACTACGGCTGCGGCGCAGCCACCGTCGCCCAGGTCAACAAAGTGTCCAGTGACCTGGCAGCCCTGGAGCCCAAGGTCGCCGCCGCCGCCCGGGCAATGGAGCTTGCAAGCTCTGTGCAGGCCACCCTTGGAGGAAGCAACCAAACAACGGCGCTGCGCGCCGAGGTGGACGCGCTGCGCGCGGGCGTTGCGGCCCTCACCGCGGCAGACACACGCGCCACGCAGCAGCTGACCGCACTGGAGGCGGCAAACCAGACGGCGGCCCGGCAGATTGCAGTTCTCACTGCCATAGTGCAGGAGCTGCAGGCGAACGCGACCAACGCCACCAACCCAGGCATCGTTTCCCAGCAGCTCGCCGCCCTTGCAGCGGCTGACGTGGGCACCGCCCAACGTCTGGCTTTGCTGGTGGCCGCCAACACCACCTCAGCCCAGCAGATCGCCAACCTTGCTGCTGCTAACTCGCGCGCCGCCCAGCAGCTGGCGCTGCTGGAGGCGGCAAACCAGACAGCAGCCCTGGAAATTACAGCGCTCAAGTCTGCTGCTCAGCAGTGCACCTGTGGCCTGGAGCTCAAGGCCGTCAACAGCACCCTGGCAGACATCAGATCGGTCCAGCAGGCGGACGCAGCGGCAATCTCCCTGGCCAAAGCAACGGTGAATACCCTCAAGTCCACAGTCATGGCAGGCGCGGCGGCCACTGAGTCGGTCAACAGCAGCCTCACCTTCCTGGCAGCCGCCGTGGCCAACGTCTCTGCCATGAATTTCAGCGCCTACGCAAAGATCAGCGACCTTGCCAACATCAATGCGGTCACGTTGGCAGGTGTCCCTGCAGCGCAGTTCCTGCGCGTAAGAGTTGTCCTTTATCAGGAGTCCGCACGAGCTAGGACCGGAGACCTTGGCGGCCGGACTGGTGCCGATGCGTTATGCTCTCTTGCTTCCTCGCGGCCGCCTGGGCTTGCGCGGGTGCATGCATTTCTCACGACGTCCGCATCAGATGAGATCCGAAATTTCCCCTCGGTGTTTGGGCTCCCAACCGGCCTGCCGTTTGAGTCGCCGACGGGTGCCGTCGTGGCCGGCAACTTTACGGACTTGCTCGATGGCACCATTTCACAGAGTTTGTTTGACGCGGGCGTGCTGACAGCTTCGGGTGTTGCTTGGTGGTCGGGTACCGATTCAGGCGGCCAGATGAGTGCCGCCACATGCAAGGGGTTTACCTCTATAGAACGCACCGCAAATTCTGGGCGTGCAGGTATTTCAAATTCTGCTAGCAGCAATTGGATCTCAAACAGCTTTTCCATATGCGAACTGACCCTTCCAATTGTGTGCGTTGCCTTTTGATTACGCACTGTTTTCTCAGCAACAGGCTCACAAGCTTGAGCTTCAAACACACAACCTGCGGCCGTTTTCATAATCATCTGTGCGTACTTATGCCGCTGTGCTGCTGCCCGGCCCCGTTTGCCTCGCCTGCTGAGAGGCCCAACCGCTTGCTTTGTTGCACACCTCGTCCGCCAGACCCGGCCCGCTCACGCATACATTTGCCCTGCCGCCACTCGCGAGCCAACCCGCACTGAGCGCTAATGACACGCATGCTTGTGCGCGTCATTGCTGCTCAAACACCCCACAAACCTATTTGCGCCCCCCCCATAGTCGGCCCCCGCGCGCCC